ATCATCTAGTCCAACCCCCCTGCACACGCAGGGTCACCTAGAGCACGTGGCACAGGACTGCGTCCAAGCGGGTTTGAAGATCTCCAGAGAAGGAGACTCCACAACCTCTCTGGGCAGCCTGTTCCAGTGCTCTGGCACCCTCACTGGCAAGAAATTTTCCCTTAAGTTCCTGTGGAACTTTTGGTGCTTCAGTTTGTGGCCGTTTCCTCTAGTTCTGTCGGTGGCCACCTGTGAGAAGAGGCCAGCACCATCCTCCTCACTGCCTCCCTTGAGGTACTTCTAGACACTGCTCAGGTCCCCTCTCAGCCTTCTCTTCTCCAGCTGAACAGGCCCAGCTCCCTCAGCCTCTCCTCATAGGGCAGATGTTCCAGGCCCCTGATCATCCTTGTAGCCCTGTGCTGGATATCAGTTTATTTAATCAAATATAAATAAAATATGAGAAGATGTAACTGCTATTCTGTCCTAAGAAAGGTGTTTTGATTTCATTCCATTATGGTTAATGTATATTCTGTGTTGGAAAGCCTCCAGAAAAAGAGTTGAATAAATCTGAAATATGACAAAGACCTGAATAAGCAATATAAACAATTTTCTGATCCACCTATGCTGTAAATCTGGATGACGTCTTTACTCCTGTCTGTTACAGTAAAAGAACTGTGTGGATCACTATCCCTCTGGGAGAACAAGCAGAAGAAAAATTATGGGTGTTAAGATCATGAGAACACAGAAAACATAAACAAAAATAGATGAGACTCATTCTCTGGTTTCTGTTCATAATTAAATAAGAAAGAGCTGTATTTTCAGAAAGTTCACGTTACTTTGCCTCCTTCTAACAATGTGCATCACTGTTGTAGTATTTCTTGCCCATTCTTTTATTTGATGAAAATTTTAAGTGGAAAAAAAAATACAGGATCAGTATTTAGCCAAGTTTATAAAAGAGTATGGGAATTCTTACATATCCTTTGACTTTGAAATCAGACTAATCGTTGGACGAAAAATGTAATTTAAGTGATTTTGAAAAGTCTGCAAATATAAATAGGACTTAAGTAAAAGACAAGATATTCTAGAGCAAAGCGGCCAGGTGAATCAGAATGGCTTTATTTCTGATTCCTGCATCCTTTTTACTGCATTAAAAATAGCTAAAGAAATACTCT